AACTTTATACTTATTAGTTTTTGTACGGGGTTTCACAACCATCCACTCGCCATACATTCATTTCGGCTCAGTATCTTCCTTCACTGGTTGTGGTATGTCCTCACATTCGTCAACTGGTTTTGCAACAGTAGGACACACCAATTTATTGTGCCCATACTTCCCACATTCGGTGCATATCCGGTGCAAACCTTCAAACTCAATGTAGTAGGTGATACCTTCAATTTTATATTGGGACAGAAGTGGCTTTGTCAGGTCAACTTCAAAGCTAACCCGAGCAAACCGTCCTCTGTCTCCCGTCTGTGTTGCCCTATCAACCCGAACCGGCTTCCCAATTCTAGACGCAATGCGTTCCACCGCTTCACTATTGATGAACTCCCTCGGTAAATCCGGCAACCGCACCCAGACCATCGTCGATGCCACTTCTGCCATTTTCGGGTTAAAGTTCCGCCTCCATGGTCTGACTGTTATGTAGAAATCTCCGATCATCCATGGTCCACCCACCGCAGCTCGTTCATAATCAATCTGGTTAGTGAACCTAACCATGTAAAACCCATATGTCATGCTTGACACCTGAATGTTCCCAGTTTAAGCCTAGACAAATTCCAATCGTTTTGCCAATACAGTAAACGGGAAAGAGCGGCCTAGGACTTTCACGATCAAGGCTGAACGCCACTCTCTCCTCCATCGCTGCTTTTCGAGGGCAGTAAACGGTATCGTATGACACTTGGGATCATCATCTTCCGGTATTTCATCATCCAAATCATCTTCTCTCATTGCTGCTGCAACATCCTCAGAATCAGACTCCGCGACATACCACTCATCTTCGGCATGCAGGTCACTAAACAATTTACGTGCACCCCCAGTCTTCCCTGCTGAACTTGGCTGCTGTTTCATTGGCGACCCGTCTTCTCGCGACGTAGGGGAATGAGTGTCTTCGGTCATAGCTTCTGTCTCAAAGAGTGGATTGGTTTCCATTGGTTTTGCTCGCTTTTTTGCCTGTTGAGTCTCCTTGTCCCCTTTTGCGTTCGGTGAGGACGTAACCGTTGATGGTCGCCGAATACCGGCGTTGGTATCAGGATGGCTGGCGCTCAGGGGGTCTGCCCCCGGCGCAAGCGCGGACATGTGGATCGGTCGTCGCAGGTTCCGTTCGGTGAGTTGGGGAATCGCCGCTCCGTTTTATTCGGAGATAGGGTTTTCAATGGCTAGTAATGACTTGTGTGTTCAATGTCTTTATCATTGAAGCTTGTATCATCTATTGCTCATTCATTTGATGTTTTAGTTATTGATTACTTTAGATGTTCTATGCATGTAATTCTTATTGTATGCCACAATATCATCATGCTTAGTATTTTCTAGGTTACCAAGAAATTACCATCTAGCGATACCTTGATGTTAGGAGTATATGGGAGGAATAATTAAACATTCATGCATCTACTATTATCAATGCTTGATTCTTAGATCATCGATCCTATAGACCATTGATTATGGCTCGTAGAGGCCCATTGATTATGTGATATCCTAACATCCTTGTTCTTCATTGATGGCATGAAGCAAAAGCATGCTTTAGCAAGTCAAATCTCTATCACAATAGGCGCATGCACGGGTAGAGAGTGGCCTTAGAGGAAGGGATAGGGCATCATAATAGATGATGCATAGAAGCATCTCATTGATAAGTTAGTATGCATGATCATCTAGAGAACTCTACCTACAAAAGCCTATTACCTGCTTTACAAGTTTACATCCCCTGCATTGCATTGTTTAGGGGTGGGCAACGGGACGGGACGGGATACCCGTCCCGTTTTAAACGGGTACCCAGTCCCGTTTTAAACGGGTACCCAGTCCCGTTTGGAGACCAAAGTCCATCCCATATCCCAAACCCATATGGGAAACAGGCACCCATTTCCCGTACGGGACGGATAACGGGTACCCATACTACCCATAAATACCCAAAGTTTAAACCACTAAAATTTTAACAAAAGTTTAAACTTGTATTTGCTTAACAATCACAAGACACAAAATACATCCCAATCACAAATACTCGGTTTGCAAATAACACATTCATGAACAATCACAACACATAGAAATAAATCATTCCAAGCACCAAATTATCAATTAAGAAGTTTCATTCAACACAACCAAATGGGAGGCATTGTGCTACTTTTCTTGTGTTGTTGAATGCAGAAAGTGTCCAAATTTTAGGTTCATGGAAAGCTAAAAGCTATAGCAGAGAAGCTGAGTCTCACTGAAAGGGTAAGGGCCTGGGCCCAAATGGCAAATGGAATTGAAATTGCAAGGGTGAGAGCCGAAATGGCTAGGGTTGTGAATTGGGCTGGACTGCCTTTGTATTGAATGGGTATAACGGGTACCCATATTACCCAAACGGGTATTCGCGGGTTACCCGCGGGTACCCATATTAGGAATGTACAATCCCAAGTCCCATCCGTTTATAATATTACGGGTAATATGGGTACACGTAACCCTTAAAAAACGGGACGGGTATGGGTATACCCAAATACCCGTTTCCCGGCTTAGAACACGAATTCAAGGGCACCTCAACCCATTAGTTTTACAATTTTTGCATTCTCATTCAAGCATAATAGGTTAGGTTATAGTAGTTTCTAGGCAAAATACACTTTCATAGCTATAATTTTCGCGTTTGTGACAATAATAGCCACATTTGGAGAAATACCATATATAGTCACTTTCATCCAATACTTTAATGGTCATCTAACAGTCTGACTGGACTAACAGCAATGGTTGACGTGGCATATTTTATTCGAAAATAATGCCAGGTGGAAAATCATTAGTGTCTTATTCTTTAAATTTTAAGTAAATTAAATAAAAAAAATTATAAAAAATACAAACTATAATCTCAGAATGAATACAACGAAAACCATTTCTACATGGATGGAAAAGATATTAAAAATTAAAAATTAACTAATGGATTTTTTAGGAGCAATCTGTGGCTGTGCGTCCCCTTCTCTCTCTTCCGTTGTCATCTCCCTCAACTAGACCTGGCAAGAATAATCCAATCCATTAAATCAATCCAATCCATTTAAATTGATCCAAATCCATTTAAATTGATCCAAATCGATTTAGTCCAAATCCATTTAATCCATGGATAAATGGATTGGATTCATGGATATCCACTAACCTAAACTGTACGGTGTCCAAAAAGAAAAACAAAACAGATTTATTTACCCTTATTCTAACAAAAGACTCGTCGCCTCCAAATCTGAAATTCCGATTCTGAACACCACTGGTTCGCACAATGTCGGCGGCGTCTTCGCCGCCTCTCTGTCCATCTTGAAACCACCGGCCTCTCTGTCCATCTTCCAAACAACGCTGATAGAGTGATTGTTTTTCTCCCAAGGTCACCGTCGACAGCGTCTTCGCCGCCTCCCTCCCTCTCTATCTCGAAACCCACCTCGTCGCCTCCTTCACCAAGTCAGGACTTGCCTTCCTCTCCATTCGTTTCCCGTCCAGCTCCATCAAGGAAGGTTAATCACTCCATTCGCCCAAACCCACGAAGAAATTTTGTTCGCCTTCTCCAAAAGCGACTTGTACGGTTACCCCTTTTCCTCATTTACCTTCCTGTTTATGGTGTTTGGGTGGAATTTTCTTGTCTTTTATGGGTGGTTGATGTTATAAGTTGGGATCGTATCGAGGATTTCCTCCTGCTGCTTCTTCTCGTTTGCTTGTTGCTTTAGCTCTATGAACATTCATGCATATATACCGACGGTGGAATTTGATAGACAATTCATTCATCCCTCGTTTACCTTCCTGTAAGTTTGGAGCTTGGTTTAGTTGCATCAAGCTGTAGATGAGCAATTTGAGGGAGGGAATGATGATCACGATAGCTTGAACCTGGTGGTGGAATTTCTTGTATTGACGTATGGCACAAACGAAACTTCTCTATGCTCGGAGAGAAGTATGGAAATTTTGTGATGTTGTCACCATGGAGGCCAAGCTTCTGGGCTTGTTTAACTTTATAGATAGCAGTGGGAAGGGTTGTGATCAGGGCATTGTTTGATTTTCTTGCAATGGTAGAGGTACATATGCTTCAGTTTTAGGCTTTGGCATCCTGTAAGTTTGAGTGATTCCAGATGTGTGGCCATGGACAGATCTGGGATAGTTGTGAGATTTGCACAGTATGATAAGTCGAACCACCTTAGGTTTACAAATTCCTTTTCAACAGATCTGTAGTTTGTTGTAGTGTTTGTAAAGTAGAACATGAGCCTTATGTTTGGAGCTTGGTTTAGTTGCAATTTGGTTTAGTTGCTAGGTTTAAATTGTTGCTGGAAATTTTATTTCAATTGTTCCAGTTGTGCATTCATAACTAAGTCATGGAATTGGACTGATTTCAGGATGTCAAGTCAACTAATGAATGTTACGGAAAATGATGATGGTAGTAGTTCCGGAGACGAGGCTGATTTTGCAACAATGTCAACGTCTACGGGTGGAACAAGTGTTCAGAGAAAGCGACAAAGAACTTCTAAGGCATGGGAGACATTTACTTATATCCCTGGGAATCAGTTTGCAGACAATAAATCAAGAGCACAATGCAAAAACTGTCCCAAGCTTTATGTGGCTGGTAAAGGTATTTCTAATCTCACTCGTCATAGTCGTAAGTGTATTGGACGTGCAATTGAAGTGCCAGTGTCGAATGTTGGAAGCTCAAAAAAATAGATCAAACTAGATTTAAGGAGCTAATGGCTATGGCTATCATAAAACATGGGTATGAATTTGCATTGGTTGAGCATGGCGGTCTTCAGGATGTGATGGCCTACCTGAATGATGATTTCAAGTCATTTACTCGGAATACTGCTAAGTCACATTGTTTGAAGATTTATAAGAGGGAAAAGGAAAAATTGAAAACTATCTTGAGTAAGGTTCCACACGCCGAAGCTTTCAGTATGGGAGGGAGAGTGTTAAACAGCTGGCGAAGCTCTCTTTTGCCCGAGAACGCCGAAGCTTTGATAACCACACGCAATTGGTTATATGGGTTTCCAAGTAAGCTAATTAAGAATATATTTTGTTTGATATGGTTCAATCTAAGGAAGCATTAAGTAAAATTCGAATCCTGTGATATGTAGGTGATGATCCTGATGGTGGATTTGAGGTGAAGATTTCAAAGGCTGTTGGAACATCCTCTATGGCGGCTGATTTTACTCCTATTTCAGATGAATGATTGACATTTTGATAACCTTCATTCTTAGAACTGTTCAGCTCTCTAGAAAGACAAACACTGAGATCGTTTCACAATTTGGTTCCTTCCTATGTTTTGGGATCCAAGTAGAGAAGCATTAAGAAATGAATGTGTGAGATTTTCTTGTTCTAATAAGAATATGTGACTGAAGTTGTGGAGGCAGAATGACCAGGGGAAAACATGTCTATTTAGCTGGGGGTGGCGGTTTATCTTTCTTAGCTGCTTCATCGTCTTTATCTTTCCTTCCCTACAGAATCATGGAAATCTGGAGGCCTCTGCTGAAAGCTTGGTTGAAGAGCAACCGAGTTTGGAACTTGTTGACAGCATGCTTGCCCGATCTGGAATTTTCCAAATTGACCAACCACAGCAAGAGAGGAGGTTTACTGTTAGTTCTGTTCTTTTGCTTGATTGCTGGTTTTGCTATCCCACTATCAGATCAGACTGCGAGCAGCCCTGTTGTCCTTCACTGGTGAAATATGTCAAAGGGTAAAATTAATTGTGATTGCTTCTGCTGCTACTGGCAGCAGCTGATGATCATCATCATTGATCAGTGTGAACATGAAGAAGTGAAATGGGGTTGGTCTCCTTCGGGTTCGGATTGGGTCGAGTTGTGAAAGGAGGTTGGGGGAATGTTGAAGTGGAAGGGTTGCAAATTGTGCATCATTCAGGTAAGTGGAAGTGTGAACATGAAGAAATGAAATGGGGTTGCAAATTGTGCTGTCGAGTGTCGGGGTTTGGTGTTGTGAACAGTGTGCCGATTTATGAAGCCATGGTGGTAAGGAGAGATCCAGGAAAGTTTCCGGCGAGAGGGAGTTTTGCTGCCGTCGTTGTGTCGGTTGTTCTCTGGCTTCAGTGCTGTTCTCCCTCCACCGCTCCATGGCTACCGCAGTCGACGCCGCCTCCGTCGCCGTCTCCCCTTCCAACAACCGCGTCGGCTGGATCGGCACCGGAGTCATGTGCCGTCTCCTCGAACCCACCACGGGGCCCTCCACAGCTCCGCCCCGGAGGAGTCCTGGTCGACATGACCACGTCGAAACCCTCCCTCGCCGCCGAAATCGCCGGCCGACTCCGACTCATCATGCTCGCCGTCATTGCTTTGCCTCCGGCAGACTCTTGTCGCCGGCGATGACTGTTTATCGATCTGCGAAAATCGTTTCCTTTTTTTTTTGTCAAAGAAAATAAAATATCATGGAAAATATACAGTTTGGTACCTAAAATTTTTATTATCAAGTTGCAGTATATAAAGTTTTCAAATTTGACATATTGATTCAATGATTTAAATGTCATTTGGATTAATGGATAATCCATCAATCCATTTTATCCAATCCATGGATCCATTAATCCATTTGATCCATGGATCAAACAATCCAATCCACTTATCCATGAATCAATCCATTTGCCACCTCTACCCTCAACCCGTGCTAGCGTGCCCCCAAATCCCAATCCCTACAGCAAACCACTATTGCTCAAACGCGCTTACGGGAGCTCCGAGCAACCCAAAACTCTCTCACCCATGATGGAATTCCCAGACCAGCAGACGGATCTAAACCTCTACGCCGATACTAAGCTTACCGAAACAGATGGGGAATCTCACTGCAACATAGCGATGTTGGCAGGAGACGAGAGCAGGAGAAGAGCTCGCTTTGTCCCGCCATCTTTCTATTCTCGCTCGACTTCACTCTCTCCCTCTCTCAATATATGTAGAAGCCATTCGATTATGGAAACGACGATTTTGAGAAGATGAATTGGTCTTGGTTCTTGGTTTCAAATTATGGAAACGGCGATTTGGAGAAGATAAATTGCTCGAAGCTTCGCTTGCCTCCAGGATCTTCAGTCGCCGGAGCTTCAATCGCCGCCAGGGGCCGAACTCTAAATACGAAATCGGAAAAAAAGGGAGGTTGGTTCTGTCGTGCAAAGCAGATGGGGTATGTGAGAGTGGAGGGAATTTTTGTTTTTAATTATTTTTAATTTAATTTTTAATATCTGACATGTCACTAATTTACCGCTGAGGTGTGCGCTTAGTTGGCGCCTAGTAAGCATACTGTAAAAAAAGATGACCGTGTTAATAACACTGTTAAAGTATTTGACGCAAGTGTCTATATTTGTCCAACACCTTTTACAAAATCTGGCTATAAGTGGTATTTCTCCAAATTTGGCTATTATTGTCACAACATGAAAGTTTTGGCTATACAATTGTATTTTGCCTAGTTTCTATCATAAGGCTAGTGGAATACGAACCTAAGAACTTCTAGGATATTTATCACTTGTTACAAAATCCTGTTTTGACAAAGTTGCCAAGGATTTTTTATAGTATTTCGAAGAAGCTAACCTCTTGTATTTGATTTTCATTTCATAAAAAGAAAAAAATATTACGCTCTAGGCGGGTTGGTTTTGCATGATTTAAACTCAAGGAAGCCATACCAAGTCATCCAAGGACGTGATACCAAAAAGAAGGACGATAGATTATCAAAAAGTATAAAAGGTCGAAGTAAGCAACCTCAATCCTCTTCCACTACTTTACTATCAACAAAGGATTCCTATCGAGTGTAAGAGAGAAGTGTTGGATCCATAGTATACGAAGCTACTAAGAGAGAAGTATGGAGATCACCCTACTATAGAGGAGATGGAACTAGATTTTGACTCTCAAAGCAAGACGCCATATCAAATCTTAACCTCCTAGGGGCGTGAATGCTAGCATCAAAGATGAAGGGCCAAAGCAACTAATAGAAGATGTGTTCAATTCATTGAGGAGCATCCCAAAGCCGATAAAGGAAGTTTCAATGAGATACGTGAAGGTTTTGAAGAGGTCAAGGTGCAAAAAGGGCTTATAGAGCATAAAGATCTTGTGGGCCATAGAGAAGAGTGAGATCATCTCAATGACAACAAACTAGATGAGAAATAAAATGGAGATATCATGAAGGAAGAAGGATGCTCTATTGAAAAACTTACACTAATCCAAACCTTGTTGGATTCGAGGGAAGATGTTGAATGCTTCAAGCCCCTTTAAGGATTTGAACACTTCCTAAGCCTTCTTTAATGTGAGTCCAAGAGCATCCACCATTGGAAACATCTAGGAGGAAGAGTTCGAGTATGATGACCCCCATGCACCTCTTATTTAAAGTTCAACAAAAAAATTTGGAACCGAACATTGAACAAGAGATTGTAGAAAATAATTCAAACAAGGATAATCAATCTCAAATGGATAAAAAAAAAAAAAGGAGATAAGCTTCTAGAGGAGAAACCATCTCAACCTATCCAACCAAGAGAGGATATTCAAGAGGAGCCACCTATAAGAAATGCTGATGACCAGACCAACATGGAGTCCAACCTTAGAGAGGAGCAAGATGCACCCACCATCTAAGAGATTGTAGAGAATCCCATAAAAGAAGATATATCATCTAGCTCAATGAATAAAACTTCAAGCCACACTCATCTTCAGTCCAACTCGACTAGTATCAATGCTTGATTCTTAGATTATCAACAATAAAGAGCAGCGATTATGGCTTGTAGAGTCCCACACTCGTCTTAGATTATCCACACTTCCTTATTCTTCATTGATTAGGTGATGACATGAAGCGAAAGCACGCATTAGTTATCTCTATCTCAAGATGCGCATGCACGGGTAGAGAGTGTCCTTAGAGGAAGAGATAGAAAATCAAAATAGATTATGCATAGAAGCATCTCATTGATGAGTTAGTATAGATGACATCTAAAGAACACTACATAAACAAACCTATTACTTGCTTTAATTTACACGTTTACATTCCTTGCATTGCATTGTTTACTTCTCTGTTTGCATAGTAGTTTAGAACACGTACTCAATGGCACATCAACCCAATACTTTTACATTATCTGCATTCTCATTTGAGCATAATATGTTAGGTTTGAGTAGTTGCTAACAAAAGATTTCGTGAATATGACCCTAGGAACTTCTAGGATATTTATCACTTGTTACTACATCATTCCCCTTCCCCTTTTCATTGGGTAATTGATGCAGCGTGCGTGCGATGGGGGTTGGGTTATCGTTGCTCGTTGATTCCACGAATGCCCGAGAGACGATGTATGCGAGGAAAGACTCCTCTTTTCTTCTTTTATTCCAATTCCGAAAACTGACTCAAACGTACAGACCGACAGCCTTTAAATAGAAGGCTAATAAGACTCCAAGTCCAAAGCAAATAAAGAAAAGGAACCGACAATTACATCAAATAAAAGTCGAAAGCAAATAAAGAAAAGGAACCGACAATAAACAAAACAAGCTTCTGTTACGTTGCATGCTTAAGCATGGACGTCGTCGACGTCCCCATCATTCTCCCCTGGGTCGAAAAGATTCGGCCTCGAATCGGTGCCGCCATTGTCGTCATCGGTCGAGGCCTCGTCAGAAAAAGGAATGAGGTGCTTCACATTAAACACATCAGAAGTGCGGATATGAGCCGGTAAGCGCAGGCGATACGCATTGGGGTTGATTTTCTCCACGATCTCAACCGGACCAAGCTTCTTGGAGGCGAGCTTGCTGTAGTCACGAGCAGGGAACCGATCTTTGGTGAGGATGGCCCAGACGAAGTCACCCACCTGGAAGTCAACCGCCCGCCGGCGCTGATCAGCGGCAACCTTGTAGGCCGCGGTAGACGCCACCAGCCGATCATGGGTGGTACGATGGATGTGGGCGAGCTGTTCAACGAATTCGGCAACCGTCGCATGGTTACGGACCTTGCTGGGAAGACTTAGTAAATCGAGTGGCCCGCGAGGAAGGAGCCCGTAAACGACCTGGAAAGGCGACAGTCCGGTGGAACGATTAACCGCCCGATTATGTGCAAATTCAGCCTGCAGAAGCTTGTGATCCCAAGCTTTGGGGTGATCCCCCACTAAACTCCGCAAAAGATTACCCAATGAGCGATTAACAACCTCAGTCTGGCCATCAGTTTGTGGATGGTAGGCACTGCTAAAGTTCAATTGTATATTGACCATACGCCACAAACTCCTAAAAAAATGACCAACGAACCGAGAGTCGCGATCAGACACGATGGAAGCAGGGAGTCCATGCTGCCGATAAATGTCACGAAAATAAAGGTGGGCCACCGCCACAGCATCCGACGTCTTCTTACATGGCAGGAAATGAACCATCTTGGAAAAGCGATCCACCACGACAAAG